GAAAGGTTATCAATTTCTACTTTTTGCTTTTATATTGTTCAAGAAGGTTAAGTCCAGGAATATATTCGGACATGAAAATGACATCGGTAGCATGAAAATTTTAATTTATGTTATTTTTTTTATTTTTTTTGTAAAAAAAAATAAATTCGGATTCGGATCCGGATATTTGGATATCCGATCCAAAATTTCGGATATCCGAATTTTCAGGTATCCGATTTTTTCGGATCGGATACGGATTATTACTTTAGGTATCCGAAATTTTCTGATATCCGAAAATTCGGATCGGATAATATCTGATATCCGATAATGTACACCCCTACTTTGGACTGTGCAATGCTTTGTAAAGAGATGTATAAGATCTTCCTTTGTGTAATGGTTGACAATCTTCATATTCGATCCGTCTTTTCAAGTTTTCAACTCGAAATCTCATTTGGCTTCAAGACGTCATCTAAAATTTTACATCTTGAACCCTCCTTTAATTATTTTTCCTATCATGAATTAAAGATTTTAGAAAACTATTTGCAAATAAAATAACCGTGAGGGGCAGAATGAAATATGAAGACATTCTCTCCACTTAGAAATCCATGTATGATTAGAAGGGATTTTTCAGGCACGTAATGTAGGCTAGGGCTCACGGTTATGAAAGAAAGGGATAAATAGGCACAAACAAGTGTTTAAGGGTTATCAAACCAAGGATTGATTCGTTCTACTATTTTTAATCTTGTCTTGCTCGATTTGAACATGTTTTCGTGTCTTTTATTCTCTTTTTATTTTCCTTTGGTGTTTCATGATCTTTGGGTGAATTGATTATAATCATTCATCTTGAAGTGTTGGATATGTTTTCTTTCTTCTTTCTTTATTTATTCTTTCTATTCTTTCTTTCTTTCTGTGTGTTTTTTTGCTATATCTTTTCTTCTTTTTTCCTCTTCGTGTTATCAACTCGGTTTGATCCTTCAGCGCTTGTATTTAGTCCACCTTGCGGTATCTTGTTATTTCTCACTTTATTTTATCATGACTTGCTTCTGTAGCAAAATCTGGATTGATGATTTTCACTCATTCGAGCAGATGTCATTCACCTTTGCCCCCCCATTGTGGAGGGTGATCCTTGATTAGGGTTGAATCAGAAGAAAAAATATTATAGGCTCAAAAAGAGACGACAAGGGATATATATATTTGAAAGAATAAATGAAACAAAGTCGTTCATCATCTCATACATATAAGTCTTTGTAAAAGTGGTATCCCCAGGGGGACGAGTATTCAAGATTAACCTTATTTACATGAAACAATTTAATTAATGCATGATAGAATTATTTCAATGATTCCCTTTATTTCTTCTTCTTCCATTCGCTCCTAGTATGCCCCAATTATTCGAATTCTCAAAAACTTGATCTGCAACACTTCATCTTGTCTTTTTTGCAGGAAAGATCCTCGTTATGCCCCTAAGATTCATTGAGGTTGGGAAATGAATGTTGGTTCTGTATCTAGGAAGGGAAATTTGTGACTCTAAAGTCATAATTCTGGAAAAAAATGTAATGTTATATAAAGGTTATTTCTGATTGGAAAGGCAAAAGTACATGTTTTGGTGCATCGGGGAGGATAAGGGCATGACTTTATTGTTTAAGAGGGAAGTGATGTCAAGGTTTGGTCCTTTGGTAGTAAGCATATGTTATTTCGGGTAAGAAAACAAGCAATGGTTCTTTCGGCTTTAGAATGGGGGTATGGAAAGTATAATCTTGCCACTTGTCAAAGATCCATAATTAATGAAGAAGTAAAAAAACCTTTAATTCATTCAATATTCAAAGAATTGTAAGATTAATACTTGATTTATTGCTCATGGCCTTGGAAAACGATATAAGTTCAATAAAAACTATTTATTGAGCAAAATAAAGAAAGAGAAAAAACACTTTCAAACATGACAAAGCAATGCAATAGGGTTTCACGTTGGATGAAATGATCTATGCGTAATGAGGATTCCCCATTACTCATATGATGTTGTGGCGTTTGACTCGATCGGATGTTACATATTGCATTTTGATGCCCCATTCGAGTTCATCATCCATTGTTCAACAAACTCTTGAGTTAACATTCCATTACTGACGAGCATCTCTATTTCTTTCATCAATGGACCACAGCTCCATGTAGAATGCCTAGGTGCCCATAGGTGGAAATCACATACATTGTCTTCATCATAACTATGACCAGACGAGTTTGGCGTTACTTTCATTGGTCTCGGAGTGATATATTGACCTTTAACAAGATGCGGGAATAATTCTGATATGAGTGTTTGGAACACCTCCAAAGCTTTTCTAACTCGAGGAATCTTTTTTGGTCGATCCGAGCGACTAGTTGTCATTCCTCTCTTACGGATGTGGGGGCTCTGGACATGACATTCATTTACCTCACTATCTTTTGATTTTTGAGTGGCTGATATTTCAGAGGCAGTTTTAAAATTCCCCTTGGTGATTACATACTCTACTTGTTCCCCACTTGACACAAGATCTTCAAAATCATTCGTTGAATCTGCAAGCAACAACTCAAAGAAAGGGTCTTGAAGGGTGCTATGAAACATACGTGACATTTCCTTTTTTAGCATCAGAGGCTGAACTTGAGCTGCCATGCTTCTCCATCTCAAAACGTATTCTCTAAAGCTTTCAGTAGCTTTCATCTTCAATTTCTGGAGATCTTGACGATTTGGTGTCAAGTCTTTGACATATTTGTATTGCTCTAGGAAGGCATTGGCCAAATCGATCCATAACTTAGATTTTCCAAGATAATTAAGGGCAGTGTTGTCTTGCGTCGTGGGTTAATGAAATTGCGCCCAACATGATTGGGTTTCAATTTTTATTAATTCACTTACTAAGGGACATCCCATTCAAATAAAACCGAGTGAATTCAACCATTTTCATCGTGTCAAATAATTTAAAATAGGTTCTCTCATTCTTTAAAAGTTCATAGAAATAAAATGATTGTAATTCAAATTTCGAATTCAAATTTGTAAAATTCCACCATTTCAGACTACAAATAATCGAAGAGTACCAATTTTGGACGCTGTGGGGATGCTCACCATTCCCCACGCGTAGTCGACTCCAGAACCCTTAAAATGAATTTCTGGTTAAACGCAAACTGATTTTTTCTTTTTAAACATTTTTTCAAAAAGACATTTTTAGGTATTCTACCTACCTAGCCCAAAGGTCGATGGTGACTCCAAATTTATTTTTAAAATAAAGCTAGAATGTTCCTAAAACATATAGTCGAGTGGTGTTCTTGAGCTTCAGGACCATTCAGACAAATATTTTTTTAAAATAATTATATATATATATCAATCAGGGATGGACCGAGGGAGCGATGGGGGCAATCGCTCCTTTGAAAATTTAAAATTGTCAATATTTTAGATTTTTTTCTATGCATATTCTATTGAAAATATGTTTTTGTCCCCTGAAATTTTATTTCGCCCGTAAATATAAGATACCCCGATATAAAATCTTACGTACGTTACTGATTTCAATCATACTTTGCCATTGGGTCTGGAATCTTAGGGTTTTTAGTTTCACTTCTCAACTATTTAGATTACGTGTAAATTTTTTATTAATTAAATTAATTAACTGATTCAAATTTTTTCAATTGCTGCCTTACTATTGTTTAATTTAAACTTGAATGTTTTTAATGTATATATTAATTGTATAATTATTGTTATAGTTAAAAGTTATAACTTTTAAATTTTATTTATTTATTTTTTCATTCATTTACCGTTTTGAAAAATTAACCGAATAGGTAAAAAAGAAAAGAACTCACATACCTGTTTTCTTTGAGTTTATTTTTAGGAAAATTACATATATTACTAAACTTTGTTCGTTAATTTATTATACTATTGAAGATTAAATTTTTAATTTTATTAATTATAACATTAAATTTTAGTTTTATATTTAATTATTTTATTGCACCATTAAATAATGAACAAAATGATGATAAGGACGTTGCTTGTTGTGAGAGTGATGATATAAACCGTTTAATAATATTATTTCATCCAAATAGGATCCACAAACGTTTTTTTACTTTTTTTTATTTCATACAAAACCTTCAATTTAAAACCCTAAATCTATAATTCATTTTACCCTAAATCTCAAATAGAAAATAAATAAATAAATATTTAATAATATATATAAATGAATTGATATTGAATTGATTCATGACATCAACTCAGTTAAATTTTAATAAATAATATATATATACTCTTTACCCGTATAGAAATAAAAACACACACACACAATGATAGTTATGCACACTCACTATGCGAGTAGAAAAAATATAAAATTATAACTAAAATTTATTTTTTAAAATTTTAATAATTGTTAATAAAGAAGTAAAAATATAAACAAAAAATAATATAAAGAGAGAACGTAAGAGAAAAGCTATTTTTCTCTTTTTGAAGTGATTAGTTATTTTCTAATCGGGTAATAATTTTTAAATAAAAAAAACTTAAACACCCTTCATTTATCATTTATTAATTTTAAGTTTTATTAATATTAATTTTTATATTAGAAATACCAATATCTAATTTATTAATTGACTAATTCGTATAAAATATTATATATTAAATTAAGTTATAATATCAATCTAAAAAAATATTATTATAAACGAAGAATCAGCCCAAAATCCAACCAAGCCCAATTGGTTTGGTAGCTACATTAATGTCGGCTCAAAAGGTGGGGGTATCTTACGCGCAAAACCGTCCTTGATGGTTTCCTAGCTCTCCAGGAATCCGGTTCACATTTGAGAATGAAAAATACTATTTGACTTTCTCATTATCCACTAAAAATAAATAAAGTTTCTATTAGATCAAATTTAAAAAGAAGCGGTTCACAAGTTTAACCGACTATTGAAGTCACCTGTCTGGCCGAATTTTGGTAGGCCGACAAACTTCGTCTTGTCGTCTATATAACTGTCTTTTATTTGTTTAAAAAAGAAAATCTATGTAAGATATTTCCAAATTTGATACTTTCATGTGTGAGATTGTTAAAAAGGTGGCGAACAAGAAAGAGAAAGTCCCCGCTGGAGTCGATGACGTCGACCAAGACCTGCAATGGTTGTTTACGCATCGGCCGATGTTTGGAGAAGAAGGGTCTTCAATGTCAATGCTATCGGAGATTAGTAGGGAAAGGGAGATGTCAGCTATGGTTTCAGCTTTGACTCACGTCGTAACCGGCAACATCCCAGAGCTGCCACCCAATGAAAAATTTGGTGATTTCGGTTCGAATACAATTGGTGATGGTGATACCAATATTAGTCCATCATCTGGAATTGGTGGGAAAAAGAGAGAAAGGGAAGAACAGGAGGGTGACGGTGGAGGCATGGCGGTGGAGGCAAACGCCCCTCCAAAATTGGTCCAAATATATGAATACAAGAGCAACGAGAACAGTATAGAAGAACCGAGGAGGAGATACAGGGGAGTGCGGCAGAGGCCATGGGGGAAATGGGCAGCTGAGATAAGGGACCCCTTCAAAGCCGCTAGAGTTTGGCTAGGCACATTCGACACCGCCGAGGCCGCCGCCAGAGCCTACGACGAAGCCGCCCTTCGATTCCGAGGCAACAAAGCCAAACTCAACTTCCCTGAAAACGCCAAACTCATATCACCCTCTCCACCAATAACAACAACACCAGCTACCCATTTCTCTGTTCCGTCTCATCAACTTCAACCCTCTCGAGCTTCCGCCCAGTACATCCACTATTCTCAGTATTTGGTTGGTTCCGGCAATGATTTTCCAAGTGGATCACAACAGCAGTCTATGAACCCCTACGACCAAATGGTTTTGTCAACTTCAGTTGGTTATCGTGAACAATCTTCTTCTTCTTCTATACCGACTTCGTATCCCATCGTTGTCCCAATTCAAACGTCGGGTCAGAACCTCAACTTGGGTAGCGGCAGTCAAGCTGTCGGTGTTGGAGATGTTGCGGTACATGCTTGGCCATCAGATTCTACTCATCATAATATGTCAACCTCTAAATAGTGTCTTTCTTACATAATCGGCTACTACATTTTTTTTTAAATTTTTCTTTAAACTTTTGGCGTTTTGCTCATTCTATTCCCAAGTATTAACATATTCTGTTATTTTTGTGGGACTATTGAGATCATACTCATATGTTGATGAGAATATTGTTGAGTAGAAACAGTAATCATGATTAAAAGAACCAATCACTGTTTAAAGATTTAAATTTTATACATGAATAATTTTTTGTCCTTCCGGTTTTCAAGGTTTTATCTTACTTGATTTTGATTGGTAAGTCCTGCATACACAAAAACTCGAGCTCAAGATTTGCTTAAGATATCAAGCTGCTTACTATTTAAATCAACCAGCTTAGTTATATAAGAATAATTTTTTAAACTAAACATGATTTTCTAATGCACCATAATTATAATTTGATATTATTTTATAGTAATTACATGTAATAAATTTTGATTTATCAGCAAGTACTTAAATCAATTATACAATAGGAGTACAATTATAAAATCGATTATAAATATTACAGGTTTACCTGAGTAAATCAAACTAGATTTTAAAAGATTTACCTACACATAATTTGTAAATAATGGGATTCAAACTTAGACATTCTATATTTTATCCTTTTATCAACCGTGTCAAAACTTCATTGGCATTTTAGTGATATCGTATAAATCATAGATAATGTATAAATCTACCATAAAGTAAGCAAATAAGCTCCTCATCTAAATAACAGACCAATCACGTACCTATACTTTTTTATTAAGGGATAATATATATTTTAAAAACAAGATTTCATACTTTTCAAATAAAATCATGTTGATAAAATTGATACTAACATTTTACTATTTGTTATATAAAATCTGTCATATGGTCTATGGGACATTAATTCAAAATTCAAAAAGTTATAAAGATTTATGTGTTAAGAGGTTATAAATAAATTAATTGTTATAATTTGTATAAAAAACTGTCATGTAAAAAGATATTATTTTATTATATCTTAATTATCATTATCATTATCAGTATCTCTTTAAATTTAAATTTGATATAAAATTTTATCGTCCTTGTGATTCTATCTGACTTAACGACTACTTAAATTGTTAAATGATTAAGCGAAGAATACATGTGATTTATACTAAAAAAGTATGACTAGTTTTATTAGCATCGTTATCAATTTTAGTAACCTGCACGATTAACGAATTAAATAATTTTAATAGATAAAGGGATAGTCGTTATTCTTAAATGTTTTAAGATTGAACATGATGTTTATAAGGGTGTTTAACGTTAATTGTCAAATGATTGAGAATCTTAGAATATATACTACCTTATAAAAAAATGAGTTTTAATTCTTTTTAAAATTTAAAATTATAAACTAAATTAATAACAAAATTATATTTTAACCTTTAAAAAACTTATAATTTAATTATGTCAACAAATCTATTAACTTTATCCCTACTTGGAGGATACCTTAGTTGGAATATATACAAATTGGCATGCTCACTGTTTCACACAAGAATTCCCTTTATGTCCAACCAGATTCTTTACTTTCAAACCAAGTTTTTTTTTTTGGTTCACACGTAACATCAAACATGGACTTTACCCTTTGTAATAGTAATTAAAAAATATATATATAACCAACAATCAATTGGTCTAATACGATGAGACACTAGATCCCTTAAGCAATGTCAAAGGTTCTCTAATCTTGACGATTGCGAATGAAGCAAATTGAGTTGACATGATTGCTCTTACCTCTATAGTATCGGATCCGAATTAATTAATCAATAGATTAGATACAATAATTATACAATATATATATATATACAATCACATAAAAGCGAGTTTTTGTAGTTTAGATAAAGAAAGTCAAATCGGGATTGTCTCAGGAAATGCGGGTTAATATACGACGTTACCGGATACATTATAATATATTTAACAAATTCGGTTTAGCGCTATCTGAAATATCGAGTAATAATAATGTTGTAGGTGGAAATCATAAAGAAAATATTAAAAAATTTGGCAACTGGCAAACTTAGTTTGTCGGTTTGTGTCGATACAAATGAAAAATATATCGATCCATAGCAATATAACATGTAAAAATATAATAAAACAGGTGTCATTATGATAAAACCGGTAAACCGCTACTGGATATATTGAAAGTGTCGATCAATTAATATAAGTATCGACACTTTTGTAATTTAAAAGAGAAGAAGTTATAGCGCCTAAAAAGTGTCGATACTTTATACAAATGTATCAATCCATAACAATATAACATGTAATAATATGACAAAACAGGTCTCGAAATGATAAAATCGGTAAAAAGATACCAGATATATTGAAAGTGTCGATACATTAGTATAAGTATCGACACTTTCGTAATTTAAAAGAGAAGAAGTAATAGCGCCTAAAAAGTGTCGATACTTTATACAAATGTATCGATCCATAGCAATATAACAGGTAATAATATGACAAAATAGGTCTCGAAATGATAAAACCGGTAAAAAGATACTGAATATATTAAAAGTGTCGATAAATTAATATAAGTATCGATACTTTCGTAATTTAAAAGAGAAGAAATTATAGCGCCTAAAAAGTGTCGATACTTTATGAAAACGTATCGATCCATAACAATATAATAGGTAAAAATATGACAAAACCGGTATCGAAATGACAAAACCAGTAAAGCGCTACCGGTTATGTTGAAAGTGTCGGTACTTTAATAAGTACGCGTAAACAAGTGTCGACACTTTAAAAGAAATAGGTAAATATCCTATCGAAAGTATCGACATTTAACATAAAAAGTATCGACACTTATGTAATTGTATCGATTAAATATAAATAACATATCCGGTGTAAATATAAAGGCATAGCTAAATTTTCTCTGAAAATAGATAGAGTTTTTGAAATCGAAGCGTAATTGTTGCTGCATTTCAGAAGGCGTTTTTACGTTGAAGTTTGTTTGTTTGTTGCTGCATTTCAAATCGAAAGGTACGGTTTTGAAACCCTAGTTTTTTATTATTACAGTAATTAGGGTTTTTATGTGTTGTTGTTTGGGGTTTTCGAAGTAAAGAAGCATTTGGGACCGATTACATGTAGAAAGTGATCTTCTAGGTAGATGATAAATATCGATACTTTTATTTAATATTATAGGTAGAAAATGATATTATAGGTTGTATAAATGTGCCGATACTTGGAGTATTGAGTGTTCCCATTCGTTTGAAGGAAATAGGGAGGTTTTGGGACCGATTATTATATAATATTATAGGTAGAAAATAAATATGGATACCTGTATATAATATTATAGGTAGAAAATGATATTTTAGGTTGTATAAATGTGCCGACACTTGTTGTAGTAGCCATTCAAATTCTATTGATGACCAACCGTTTTACAACAAGAGTGGTTATCGATTTTTGTATACAAGTATTTGATTTGATTTGCGTAAACTGATATATGAAGGAAAAATAAAGTCAATGGGTGGAAAGCAACCAAAGGGTGGATATATGTACTTCTAGTAAGTATCAATTTCTTTTTGTTATTATTGTTGAAATGGTAATTGGATTAAAGTATTTAGGAACTTTAAATTGATTACAAATTTTAAATGTTGACAGTATGGACGAATGCAAAAGGATGAAGGAAGATGGCACACACAGCGGTTCGGTATGTAAAATGAAATTGACATTGAGTATTATTTAGCGTTAATGTATTGATTAAGAAACGTTTATGCTTAATATTAGGTGAAAAAAGATGTGAGGTCGAAATGGAATTCGATGAGTGATGCTCAAAAGGAACCTTACATCACACAGTCAAGGAATGATAGTAAAGAATACAAAGAACGGAGGAAAGCACATGAAAAGAAGGTATTCATTAAACTTGTAAATACGTTGATACAAGATATATAAGAACAATAACATTATATATTGTTAAAAAATGTAGGATGTGTCGACAAGGTGCAGCATAAAAAGGGTGTATTCATTAATTGAACACCTTAAAAAGAATGATCAGTTGAATGTGCTGAGTGAAATGGGGTTTGGATCATTGATAGGAGTAAAGGATCGACCAATTCGGAGGGAATTGTGTCGATCCTTGATGGAGCAATTTGATGTCAAATAATGTATTGCTAAATATGGCGATTATTTATCCCCTCTGGGGGTATCGAGTGCTGCAGCTGTCTTGGGGGTACAAAACAAAGGCAAAAGTGTTGTAGAAGTTTGTAGGAGTAAGAACTGGAAAACACTTGCCTCCAAATATGGTTTGAATCATAAGGTGACATATGCTGAAGTTGAAGAGGATATCAAAAGCGGATCTTACCAGGGGGATGAGCTGAAGGCCCGAGTTCTATTGTACCTTGTCGGGATATTTATTTGTCCAATGGGTGATACGTCAACGAACAAGGACAATATGAAGCTCATTTGCGATGAAGGCTTGAAGGGTGAATTCAATTGGGCTGAATATGTCCATTCGAGATTGATTGAATCAATAATCACCTTTTAAAAGGGCAGCCAGAGATATCTCAAAGGGTGCATAGCAATCTTAGAGGTAACTGAGTTGAAGAATATTTTTTGTTTTTTTATATAAAATGATGGTATAGTTATTATATAAAATGATTAATTTTATTATAAATGCAGGTTGCACTGTTCGATTATTGGTCGGGCTGTGATAGTTTGTCAACTTATGAAAGACACGGAGTGGCACGCATCCGTACATGGGGGAAGGAAGAGGTGGTCAGAGTGATGGCGAAGTTGAAGGTGGATAGACCGAGGAAGTTAGAAATGGTAATAAATGAAATTAAATAATATTAAGAATATAATCAATGTCTTAATACAAATTTAATTTTGAAGGTTGTTTTCAAGGACGTAGAGGAGGCAGAGGAGGCAGATGAGAGGGAAGAAGAGATGGTTGGAGGGGTGGATGATGGTCAGGGGGATTACGGTCAGGGAAAACAGAGTAAATTTGACATTTTGATATCTGAATTGGCTGATATTAAAAAAATCGTTTTTGATATTCATCAAAGACAATCAAGAGTCGAAGAGACACATGAAAGGCATAAGATGGAAGTGAAAGGAAAGATAGATGTATTGGTGAAAAAAGTTGAGGTGTTGAGTGGTGAAGTTAATATGTTGACGGGTGGAAAATTGATGGAGTTGTCAAGGAGGTTTTGGAAATAAGAAGTGAACTTTCGGGGGTGAAGGAGGTGGTTCAGAAAAACTTGGATGAATGGGGGAA